AGACACCTGCGGTCCAGAGTTTTGCAAATATCTCAGCAACATTGTGGTTGTAAAACGATAACGTTAAGTATTTGAAATTTCCTAGAGTAATTTATCGCTTAATTTCGGCCGGGTATGCTAATCATAAGCCATTTTCGATGTACAAATGGCCGTTCGTTCTGTAGTAGATCACTTCGAGTTGTTATGGCGTTCCACATTTCCACCCATAAGCCCATCCTAGAGTAAGCTAATACCAAGAATATTCGTTGTCTTGGCAGCAACTCAGTTGAAGGGTGAAGAGTCTCCCTCCAATCAACAACAGCTCAACGACTGCTTATGATGACGACTCGGCAAACCCCTTCCCAGACTCTGAAGTTGTGGCCGAACACACTTAACAACCATTCCACCTTTTGGACGACGGCTACTGAAATCGGGTAGAAGTATTGCGGCGATCTGCTCATGTGTTTACGGCCATCTAGTTGTTTTGGAAGAAAATTCTATTGCTCGTGTCATTCTCAACGATACCAAACATTCGAGTTCAAACAAATCTAGTATGAAGTAGTTTACAAAGTGAAAACAAAACTCAAAATGGAGAAGGAAATCGACAAACGGTTTCATAGCTCTTCCAAATATATCGCCCGCAGCATAGTTCGCCCAGAAATGGTCCATCAGACGACAGAACAGCGGCTCTCTTCACTAATTCGTAGAGGGTGTTTGCTGCGCCATCTGGTGTGCATGAAATTGGCTCTGAAAGGATGAAATAAATCACAGTGGCAATACCAAGACAATATGTTCCTCGTATGAAATGCTGAGATATTTGCAAAACTCCGGACCACAGGTGTATGCAGTGGGGAACGAACACGCGGTGTTGTCCTTAGCGGGGAGCAGCGCACTTCACCACTACACCATCCGGGTCCTTCGCTTTGTATGTCTCTCAGCTAGTTCTATCGATCTTTGACAATATGTTCCCTTTCTACCTTTTTACTTTTCAGAATCTTCTATAAACAAAGAAGTGAGCTAATTCTACGCAATAGATAAGGACTTTTTATGTTTCACCTATAAAGGCATAGGTTTTTTTATGTGTACTCCGCTATATCCTGGCCATTGATTCAGCCAAATAGTACCAATCAAAACTAACAGGTGCATAAGAGAAGATCGAGTCTTTGAGTCTCCCTCCAATAAACAAACTTCAAACCTGAAAATGAAAGCCACTCCATATATATTTATGTGTCCAGTTTCCCTTGCCCACACACCAATATAAGGTTTCAAAAAGATGACATAACAACGAGGTTTTCTTTGTGAACCTGGAAAAGTTAACCAAAAGTAATCATGACTACAAGGCCATCTGCAGCAATTCCAAGAAAAAATCAGTGCAAGAGAACATTTGAAAGACTTCACTTTGAGACCCACAAAATGTAGTGGAAGAAAGGCAAGAAGCTGCATGAGTTCATGTTAGCCTTGAAGACTACCAATGTCAATTCACAACCTTAGAACCGTTCTTTTCTGGGCATAAAATTTTTCTAGTGGAGAGTAGATATAAAGGGATTCACCACGTCGTCGCCACTCGAGCAGTAGTTGCTACTGATGGTAGTAGAGTGAAAAATTTCTCGCTAAATCCAAACATTCAACTTCGACGTGGAATGAGAGTAAAGTACATCATCTCCATAACAGATCTCTAGCAGGTTGGCCGCCAGGGCACGTGGCGCTGAGTAGGGGTGCACTGGGTGTTAAACGCGGATCGAAAACCTTACTTACCTTAGGCTTCCTTGAGACACAAAAAGATCCACGGTGTGGAGTGCTGCTCCTGCTGAGTTGGTTTGATACACTCCACCTGTGTTTACATAGACACGTTCATCCACGTGTGCGTCAGCATCCTCTTGCACATGATTCTATTCTGCAAGTCAACTCGGCCAAAGACTGAAATCAAAATACTGGAAGGCTTGCAGGAGATGCCCAGGAGTAGTGTATCCAACAAAGAAGCTCAAGGCGTACTGTGGAATAAACTAGCAAACTACCCATTAATAGACGCTGAAACTTTAGCCAAATAAACCTTTTTCATCAAGCTTGTGTTACCTTAACAAGCCAGGAGGGTACTGATTTTTAATTCCGAGGTTAAATTACGGTCGGTCTGGGAAATATTGATTCTCTACGTTCTATTCATGAGTATACCCAACACGCACACTGAAAGTTGAGAAGATACCCTTGGGTATCAATACAGAAACGTTCCCTGACCATTAAAGAGCTATCAGTGCAGCAGAGTTCGGTAGAAAGAGTATAGAAAGAGTGCTAAAATCTTAAATCCATAAGAGGCTGCTTAAATATGGAAGGGCTCCATCAATGAGGCCTTGATAAGCAGGCTAAAAGAAAAAGTAAGATACGACGTCATCGGTCTAGCCGTGTCAAGAAGATGCCTTCCAATTGACGCCCTCTATGATGCCCGGAAGAATCGTTCATTTAAATGACTGTCTGA